TGTCTGTGTGAGCTGTAGGGACCTGGGATGTCTGTGTGAGCTGTAGGGACCTGGGATGTCTGTGTGAGCTGTAGGGCTGCATAGGAGATGGTGATTGTATGAAATGACTATTTCTGGGAAGTCTTAGAAGTTGGTTAGTGAAGCTAATGGACTCTAGGAGCATGCTTTCTTTCTGCTATCCTTAGGCGTCAGTAACACAAAAGACCGCAGTCTGACTGCCAATTCTAACTCTCTTAATTCTTCATTTTGATTCATGATAGGAAAAGCCCTACTGTATTGGTTCCACTCTGCTTTTTCAATTTGGGGAGAGAGAGTAATTTTCCCTTTTCAAGATGTTTTGTTTTTCATAGGAGTCATTGGAAAACAATGTAATTTCAAGCATTTTGATTTTTCTTTTTATATATTGTAAGCTCAAGGAAAATTTTATTGCATTTTAAGATTAAAAACTGCAGGAAAGTTATACATTTTGGTAGGTTCTTGGAAGAAGGAGATAGTGTTGTGTCTTTTGAGATCATGTCCAAGAAGGCAGGCTCAGAGTGGAATTCTGCAAGCAGCTGTATTGAGTTTAGGAGTATCTTTTTTCTTTGTTTTTGGTTTTTGTTTTTCGAGACAGGGTTTCTCTGTGTAGCTTTGGTACCTGTCCTGGATCTCACTCTGTAGACCAGACTGGCCTCGAACTCACTGAGATCCGCCTGGCTCTGCCTCCCGAGTGCTGGGATTAAAGGCCACTGCCACCCGGCTGACTTTAGGAGTATCTTGAGAGAAAGTGTGAGAATGAGAATACCCAGAGTGTCAGGACAGGTATATTTAAGAATTTAGCAAGTATCTGAAGAAACTATGGAAATGGAAACAGAAAAAGTTATACTTGTAGAGTTAAGAGCTCAGAAAAATGAAGATCCTACTGGTGAAGAGCTGTCAGCAGCTGCCAATGGATTGAGTACGGTTTTTACATTAAATTATATTCCCTTTTTTCATTTAAAATTTACATCTGTCACTTTAGAAGTACTAGTTACTCTGCCTTTGCCATGGCTTGTAGATCCCCTCATGGCTGCTGAGATAGAAGATATGCCAGCTGTTTATCTTAGGTTCAGTCAGTGTTGTGGTACACACCTATCATCCCAGCACCTGGAGGCCACATGGGCCTCAGAGTAACGTCTGAGCTTGCCTAGGTTACCTAGAGAATCCTGGTCTTAAAAAAGAACAGGGACCATATAAACCATGAAATTTTAGCTTTGAAGACTAAGTAGAACAATTTTTTGTCTTTACTGTATTTACTATATTAAGTATTTAGCATATTATAATAATTTATTATATTATTGTTCAGATGACTGCCACTGTCCTGTCCTTTTGCGCCCTTGAACCTGAGCAAACAAGGAGTTGCTCACGAGCATTTCCGCCTTTGCACTCTCCCTTTAATGCTGTGCCACCCTCCACGCTGTTGCAGTGGTGCAGCCTTCTTAGTGAGCGTGCTTTGTCTTATGAACAGTCCTTGTTGGCCTTTCTCAGGTGAAAATCGTACTCTAGTCCCTTTGTGCTTTGCCTTTTGTTATTCTCACTCATTCAGGAAACACTCTGTGTGTCCAGTGTTTAAGACATAGTCCCACTGGACGAGGTGGTCACGCCGTTAACCCCAGTACTGGGGAGGCAGAGGCAGGTGGATCTCTCTGAGTTCAAGACCA